ATGAGATATCAAGGTCACATTTGCTCAAGGTCACAGAGCTAGAAAATAACAAAAAACAGATCTCTCTAACTCTAAAATTTATGATCTTTCCATGTTTCCCTGTGTTTCAATTTAATAATTAATAATAGATATAAAGACCACAAGTGGCTAAGCCTAGGACATTCAAGATGTCTAGGTCCCTGTTCAGAGAACTGTCTGTAGAGCTATAGCTTTCACCTATGGTGAAAACCACCTCCTACAGTTGATTCTATTCTGCTCATAAGACTTTTATTTTAGAGAAAACACCCAGTGAACTAAGTGACATTTTTTCCTCCTGTGTTTCCGTGTCTCTTGGACGAACCAGTTAATTTTAGTGACTCTGAGTTTCCTCACTTACAAGATGGCAAGAATAATAGTATTCCTGTTTTGTGGTTATGGTGAGTTAAAAAGTCCATGGAGTTAATCCACATATATAACTTAGCATGGTATGCACTCAGCAAATTTGGTTGTTTTTATTGTCATGGAAAATTTCCATCACCACCACCTGCCTGCTCTTTGCCAGATGCTATGTTAAGCATTTTATGCACCCTGTCTTTTCAATAATTATGCAAGATAGGCTCAGAGAGGTTAAAGACCTTGTCTGAGATCATACAGCTAGGAGGTGGCAAAGACAGGATTTGAACTCAGGTCTATGGAACTTCGAAGCCTATTTGCTTTCTTTCTGTGTAAATACTTTAGAGTCTCTTCCTATATTTCATATGGTGATATGGCAAAGAAGTAGATGTCAGTAACAGTAAAGTCAGTGTAGCTGTTTGTGTTGCTCACTGAGTGAGCAGCAGACCCAGGACTCAGCCTGAGGCTGTATGACTGCAGAGACCAAACCAATCCTGACCTCTGCTTTGTGTGGCTTAAGTGAAAACAGTAGCTTGGTATTTATTTATGGACCTGTTAATTCCATTTGCAGGAAGCTTGAAATTGGGGATACTTGGAAGGGTTACCCAGGGTTGTATTTTTATTTTATAATTCTATTCTCTAGTACTTTCCTGTGGGCTTAACAGTCTTCCTAACTATTTTCTGTAAGATATTCCTGACTAAGTCTGAATTAGTTTGTAAACTGGACAGTATTACAAGGACATTTGGGGCACAGAATAAATCTCCTCTTTTTGTGTTAATTTGGAAAGTCTGTGTGAAATGAGTAGATTGTTCAGGCTCATGGTAGAGCTACATAAATCCACTGCTCACAGAGTATATGAGCTTATGCTCCAGTCCTTCAGCAGGATCATTTATGTGATGATTCTTCCTGTCAGCCTGAAGAAAACTTCATTTGATTCTCTTGAAATCCTCTCTCCTAAATGAAATAGAATTAGAATAACCAACAAATTATGAATGCTCAGATTCTCATCAGAATTCCAACTTGAACTTTCGGCAGAGAGGCAAACTGTTGGCCTGGCTAGAAAATCAGCTTGCATGTGTTCCAGTTTGGGAGCAAAACAATCGATAGCAGTTTGGAGAATGATCGCTCAGACTCCTTAGTGAATGTCTTGCCCTGCTATGACTTGGCCTGATTTACACAGGTGTCCTTGCACTTTGGAAAAACACATGTGACAATGATGATTATGATAGTAATATTTATATTTTGCAGTGTGCTTATTTGCACATTACTACATTTTATCCTGAGAACAGCCTGACAGATTTCAGAAGTAGCCTTTAGGACTGTAGGTCTTACCCATGGTGAAAATCTCCTCCTGGAGCTGATCCTATTCTGCTCAAAAATTTTGTCTTTTAGAGAAAACAGCCAATGAATAGAGTAAAATTCTCTCTTGTGTTGCCATGTCTCTTCTGCTGTGTTCTATAGAAATATTGTTTTGGAAGTAATTTTTCATTCATCCGTCTAAATCCATGGTCTTTCCTCAAAACTTACCCTTTGTTTCTCCAACATTTATTGCAGTTCTTACAAAGAGTAGATGCACCCTTTTTATTGACAGCTGAAATTAGAATGTATCTGTTTTCTTTCCTCCCATTGTAGCTGAGTAAGAATCTCACTCTCAGTGACTCATTAGGAAAAGAGAAAATTTGGAGGCCATAGGTAAAGAGGACAAGGGGGAATGAGAACCAGGCCTGTCCCTAACTCTGAATTCATTCTGAAACACTTAGCAAGGGATTGCTCAAGGTTCTGCACTTAGACCAGAGGCAGGTGCTAAGAGACCCCATTGTCATCATTATCATCCTCATCTCTTTTTGCTAATTTGTGAAAATCTACACTTGCGGGTTTGGTGGCACAGCTTCTGTATGAAAATTGGCTGGAGAGGCCCTGGGATTCCACTCTTGCTTAGATGGCTGGCAGGTCACATCTCTCATTGTGGGACTATCATCCAACTTACTGCGCTCGGTTGACCTACAGCTCACGAAGGAGTCATGTGAACACATATATGTAGGAACAACTTTAGAATGTCATTGATAATGGTGCGCAGTTAGGATGTCAACTAAGAGCAGCTATGGCTAAACAATGGACAAAGTCAAAGGAAGGAGAAAGTTTCTTAGAGGTTGCATTCCTTGAGCTCAACAACAACCACATCCTTTTCCTTTCCTCCATTGTAGAGGCTTAGAAAGAGACTGGAGACATATGCAGCACCAGAAAACTTATTATTAGGAGTTCCAACTGCTCTGGAAGTTAGGGTATCTGTTGCTTTCATTTAAGTCTCCTCCTTTTCTTACCCCTCACCCCAACTGATCTCAGCTATGTGTGGTGATTCAGTGTATCTTGTTGCAAATTGTCAGTCCCCTGGGGAAGATTTGATAATGCTGCCTTCAGACAGCTGTGTTCAGGAGTGAGACTGACTTAACCAGCTGGCTGGCATCATTGGAACCCCAGAACCTGCCAACCCATGGAGAGCAGCTGTTTGGTTTGAAATTCTTAGAATTCTTATGAATTTGCTTTCTGTATAAGATTTTGAGTTTTTCTTTTAAATGCATATACAAAAGAGAGGACCAGGAGAAAGATTCTGGGATATCTATGACCGTCCACAGACAAAGAGCAAGGAGGCAGCTACCACTATCCTCTTGTGTCTCCTGGCTAGTGAAAAGAGAAAATTCAGAAGGAAAATAACTTCATAGAGTCAAAGATGACAACAAATGGAACAGTAAATTTTGATATCTCAATAAAGTAAGAAAGTTATGTAACCATTATGAATCATGTTTAAAGTTTTTTTAATGAAGGGAGAATTCTGTAATATGTTAGATGAAATGTGTAGCATATAAAATTGTGTAAAGAATACAATCTCAATTACTGACAAGTGTGTTTAGCATTAAGTGAGAGTTCACACAAAGCACTCGACCCAGTGTGTGGTGTGGCAAATACTTAGTAAACCACAGCTACTGGGATATAAATTCTCTAACCATGGGGAACATATTTGCTACATCCAGAGTGCCTAGTGTAAAGTAGATGTTCAAAAGAATTTTGCTGATTGAATGAATGGGTGTTGTTATCATATGTGTTTAGAAATAAATGTAGAAAAAAAATCCAGATCACCTTAACTGTATCTATAATTGTGGCAACTTCACTTCTCTGTGCCTCAGTTCTTTATAAAATGCTGAGGACATTAGCTATCATGCAGAACCAAGTGAACTGCATGTAAAGTGCAGAGTGAGGTACCTGGCACCTGGGGAGCCCACAGTAAAGTGGCAGCGACTTCAGGATTGCGTGGTAAGCACCATCCAAAGGTTGGTTGTAATTAGAAAATTCTGTTATATTTTTAGCTGTAGTAAAAAGTTATGGATTTTTGTCTATCGTTTTTAAATTTTATTTTACTTTTGAATTAGCATGTATTAATAATGCAAGGGGGTTCATTGTAATAATTCCATACATGCATACAGTGTATTTGTAACAAGTTTACTTCCACCATCATACTTCCATCCCCCCTTCCATCCTACTCCATTTTTCAAACAGTCTTTGGTGGGTTTCCTTGTCTATCATTTTTGTCTCATCTTTTACCATGGGCTTAAACAATAATAATAATAATAACCCAAAAGGAAAAAAGCTCATAAATAAAATCTAAGTTGGTTATGGTGGTACATGCATGTAATTTCAGTTACTCAGGTAGGAGAATTGCAATCTGAAGCAGGCTCAGGCAAAAGCTCAAAACCCAACTTAATAAACTAAAAGCAAAATGATTGGGATCATGGCTCAAGTAGTAGAGTACTTGCTAGCAAGTCTGAGGTCCTTGAGTTCAATCTCTAGTATTGACAAAAAAGAAACAAAATCTAAATGCAAATGGCAGTTATCTTTAAATAATAGAACTAGGAGAATTTTTCTGTTTTCTTCTTGAAACTTTTCTACATTTTCAAAATTGCCACATATAGATGAATATATGTATAAATTTTCATATTTATGTATGTGTATACATGCACATACACACACTCTTACTTTTATCAAAGGTTAAAAAAAAATTCCCAACCTTTTAAACCAGAAAAAGGAAGGTCTGCCTTACCGGTATCGAAGAACTTGTGAAGTGAAAAAGATGTGCCCTCTAAAGACAGTTGGTGAGGAGGAAGGGGGTGGCTCTCCTTTGGATTGTTTTGGAATGCTGGTTAAGAAGGTTGTGAAGAAGTGAGAATGAGAACCAATGAAGAAATGAATGAAGAAAGGTAAAGGGAATCTTGATTAATTGGTTCTGGATAAATGGTAGTGAAAAACTTTTAAATACTGATAATAGACAGTGGCTTACATTTATCTCAGTTTTTTTTTTCCATTTCCATGGATCAAAAACGAGAACCATGGAAATTATGGCGGGGAGAGGGCGTCTGAAATGGGAGTGAACTGTTACTAAACTCTAGCATCAGCTCCTAAAGGAAAGTTTCTGGAAATGTTTGTAGTTGAGTCCTGAACAAATGCCAGATGTCTTCATTGATCTGTTCTTGTTAATCCTAGGCTACCAGCAAGCTTTCACTTGCACTGATTCAGGCCTGGACTTTCTTCCTAACTCCCAGGAGCATATAACCTTTTCGTGAAACTTTATTTGCAGATATTCAACACTGTGCCTGATGTGCCACTCACCAACGCCCAGCTGCACCTGTCTCGGAAGAAGAGCAGTGACTCCAAGCCCCCGTCCTGCAGTGAGAGGCCCCTGACACTGTTCCACGCAGTGCAATCAACAGAGAAACGTGAGTCCCTGCTGCCCAGGGCCCAGGTGGTGTGCGGGACAGCCCATGCTGCCTCACTGCTTGGGGTGGACACTTCCATCTTTTCATGTGCTGCTGGCCTTTTATATGCTTGAAGACTGTGTCTCATTGTCCCCTCTCAGGCCCCATAGGGCAGGAAGCAGAATTGCTAAGAATGAAAGGCAAGTCTTCTCTCAAGGATTCTCTTTCTAGATCTGTGGGCAAACACCTGAGCCTCTTTCCTCTGCTGCACAATCAGAGCTCAGCTCCAGTATTGCCTTTGTGGTCTCTCTTGTCAGCAGTTCCCATAGAACCAGTTTCCTTTGCTTTATGCAGTTTGTCATTAAATTCTTAGTAGAGGGAGTTTCATTCCTATTAGAATGTGCCTCTGTGAGGGCAGGACCCTGTTCTGTTTGCCTAGGTTTTCCTCTGTGGAGCTGGTACTTTAAAATGTTTGAAATTAGTTAATGAAGTAATTAGAGAATAATTTCTCTTTGTTCCAAATACCAGAGAGTTATCACAAATGTATCAAATCATTTTTATCCCAGGATTTCTGAATTCTTTGCAGTGATCAGGCACTGGGCCTCAAAATATATAGTTGTATTTCAACTTTTGTAAAAAGAGACTTGTGTGGTATAAGAGATGAGGCCTTGAGCTCTGATGGAAGCTGTTTTTTGTGATAGCGTTACCACAAGTGCAAGCCTTGTACCCCTCTCAGCATCAGTTTGGTCATTTGTAAAGTAGGCATAATAGTGCCTGCCTCATAAGACAGTTGTGAGGATTAAGTGAAATTATACATTTCAGCATCTGGCACAAAGCCTGGAACACAGTAAGGGCTAATAACAGAGAGCAGCTGCTACCATTATTAGTTATTGTTTAATCACACATAGATACCAGGGCTGGTTCATACATGCAACTGACATTTATTTACATGACGCCTGCTAGGACCTGGGAATATAAAAATGGGCCTTGTCTTTAAGGAGCTCATAATTGAGTAAGGGAAGTAGACCAGTGCATACACAATGTAAGTTGGCATAGTAACTATTCCTGTAGAGAAATGTGCATTAAGGGAGGCTGTTGACTGTCCTGGCTAAAAGCATGTACTGTGGTTGCCCCAGTGGGAATTCAGCCTCTACTGCTCACCAACTATGAGTGATCTGGAGCTTATTTAATATCTCAGGACCTCTTCTGGAAAATAGGGATACTGGTTTCCCAGAATTTCTGAGTTCTTTACAGTGATGAGGTACTGGGCCATAAAATACAACTCTTGTTTCAGCTTTTGTAATAAGAGACTGTGTAGTGTAAGAATAGAGGCCTCTGCTGGCAGTCACTGGACTGTTGTGAGGGTTAAAGCATTTCAGATATGCTAGTTGCAGAGTTATGCTCAATAAGTGCTGGAGAATGTATTATAATTGTTACTATTATTAATTATTATTGCTGATCTCTATGAGGTTTAACAAAGGCAAAGGGAGAACAGTGAGTGACCTTTGCCTTGAAGAGGAGAGGCTTGATATGTGGGGGATTTTATTGGTTTTTTTTTGTGGGGGGAGGTTGTTTTTGAGATAGGGTCTCTGTATGTGGCCCAGACTGGCCTTGAACTCATGTTCCTCCTGCCTTAGCCTCCTGAGTGCTGGGATTACAGGTGAGAAACAGCACACCCAGCTCAGCTCCACATCTGGGTTGGCATTTTTCTTTCATTGTCACAAAAAAAGGTTTTATATCCCCTCGTATTTTGAAAGAGTGGCTTCCTTAATCATAGCTCCTAGAAACAAACTACCTCTGCCCCCAAACCTTACTACATTTTAAGATGTTGTAGTATCCCTTCCTTAAGGCTGCACCTTGCTGTTCAGCACTATTTGGGTTGTGGCAGATATTTTACTTTTATGAGTAAAGCTACTTTTATCATTTTGTATCTCATTCTTCTCATATTTGTGATCATTTCCCTCCAGATAAATTCTTAGAAGAATTTCTAGGTCCATGGATCTATCTGTATACTTCCAGGGCCTTGACCCCATTCTAGCACTGGCTTCCCTTCTAACAGTAGCCTGTGTTTCTATTAAACATCTGGCTAGGGTCATTCTCTTCAATGTCTACTCAGGGCCTGGGCCCCTCCGTGTGTACCAGGGAACACTTGGAACAGGAATGACCTCATCCCCATCTGCCGAGTGAATGAGGGATCAGGCTACAGGGTGATGTGCTTCTCAGGTTTCCAGGAAAGCCACGGTCACCTAAGGTTTCCTACAAGCAATGTACAGTGCAGATCAGGACAGGGCAGCCAGTGTTGGTCAGTTCCCCTAGACTTTAGCTAGTGCTGGGCTTGTGGTTAGACTGAAGCAGCAGCAGCCTTAGAGCAGGTCCAGAAGCAAACTTTGCAGCCCAAGAAGAAGAAGAGGGAGATGAGGAGAAAATCAGTTAGATCTTTGCCAAGATTAGCTTTATCACACAAAGCAGAGACTGAAAGTTAAGGACGTGTGAAAGCAGACCTGCCTAAGCTGCAGAACAGGCTGCTGTGTCCCTGGGTGCAGATGGGTGACAGTGAAGCAATAGAGCTTCCCTCTCAGTGTTAGGAAACTCTACCCAGAAATAGGACTGCAGACTCCACCTGCATGGATATTGGCTGGTGATCCCGCTTCCCTCCTTTCTCAGAGTAAAACATTTCAACTGAAAAATCTACATGTGTACATATTCATGTATACATATGCATATATGTGTATTTGATTGAAAAGTATATAGGACCATAAAAGTGTGTGTGCTTTATACTTCATTGTTTTTTCTGGGAAACTGGAATGGTATCCAGACTGGCATGGAAAGCATCCTTGTAGGAGTGGTAAAGTCAATGATGCATGGACAACTAGGTCAGGAGCTAGAAGGTTCTATGGGACTTGCATCTCCCAGATTTAATCCAGCCATCCCATCATTGTTAGGCCAACAGCTAACAGAGTGCTGTAACAGTTTCATACACTTCACCTTTACCTTTGTCCAGTCCAGGAACAGAGACAAAACTTCACTGTATTGAAGTGCTCTTTGTTACTAAAGTACAGTTGAAGATTATACACATAATCTGTAAATTCCCATGTATTACATATGCATGTTCTTCAGTTTAAGGCCTCTTTACATACCTAACTCAGTGCTTCCCAAACTTTAGTCATTTACATACTCTCCATTTATTGTTTGAGCCACAATCACATAATTCATGCCTGTTATCTGTTTAATGTAATTTAAATTGACTTTAAAGCAACTTACTTCTTTACATGGCCTAATCCTGATATGTAAAATCTCTAAAAATATGAATTTGATGACCTCATTGTATTATTCTGTACTACACATTAAAATAAATACATAACCATGAAGATAAAAAAGCATTTGTCCACATCCAATCTGTGAATTATCTTGTGTATCACCTGTGGAATGCGTACCATAGTTTGAAGTCCACAAACTAGGCTCTTAATTTTGACTACTCCAATCTTTCCTCTTAGTTTAAAGATACAAACTCAAGTTCCTTCTGCCCAATGGACTAGAACTGGACTCAGGTATTATATTACTATGGACACTCGCTATTCATCAGTCAGTATAAGGTTCATTGTAACACCTGTCCAGATTTAATGTGAATCTACTTTTCTTCAGGTTCTTGCCATAGAGCAAATATGCTGTTAGAGGGATTGCACTATGTAGGCACACATTCACACACAGAGCATGTGTGTGCACACACACATACCTCTCCTCCACCTTCATGCTTGCCACATAGTGTTTTCCAGAAGCTCGTTTCTGTCTGTCGGATCTTTTGTCCAGTTTGCTTCTGTTTGTCCTCAATGAAGTGCCTGCAGGTGGATGTTTCCTCTGTGTTCCATTGGTGGGCACCTTGAAAAACCCCAGTTGAGATGCTTAATGGGGCTGAGCTCCTGGAGTAGCTTGCTCAGGTGCCTCCTTTGAGGTTCTGGTTATTTATTGTCAGTACACTTCTACCTAACTCTCTATACTGCAGCTCTGTGCAGAAGTTGGAGCCCTGTCCTTTTTCTCCAAGGTGAATACTTGTGGCCTTATATGGTCATTAGCCTCCGTGTTCCCAGAGAAGACACTCCTTGGGAATTCTGTAGGCTCACTCCTCTTTGCACCTACACTTCAGATTCAGAGAAGTGTCTGGCATATTAGATGATGCTTGTAGATGTGTGTCTCATCTTCCTGGCAGAGTTTCCCCTTCTGTGGAGGTGGAACAGTAGTTTACCAAGGCACCAGCGTGCAACTTTCTGCTTCAATCTGTGGGAATGAGTGGATTCTTCTCCATGTGGCTTTTTTTATTTTTCCTAAAGGGCAAGTTGTCTTTACAAAGCCAATGGTCTCTTCCCAGAATGAGGAGCCAGGTAGTTTCTCCTGCTCTGTGCTAGGTGGAGATTTAGATCAGCTTCAAGGTAGCAATTGACTCCTCCTAGCATAGACAGTGTGTGGTGGAAGGGGGTCTAGGAAGGACATGGGGAGGGGCTCCAAGCTGAAAACTCCATGGGAAAGAGCAAAGGGAATGATGGGAAACTACAGAATTTAGAAGGCATCATAGCAACACATGCAAATCATCAGGAAACCACTGAATGTTTTCTGAGGAGGGGACTAGATATCAAACATGTCTGTAGCTGGTCAAGAACTTTTTTCTAAAAGGGGGGAATTTTGAAAAATATATTAAAAGAAATGAGGGTCCCAGTCTGGCCCAAAGGACAGAAAGGAGACCTATGGTATGCAACAGATGGAACAGGGGACAGAGTTCTTCTGTAAGTAGTAGTGGATATCTTTGTCTCTAGAGCTGAAGAGGGGTCTATAGAAAGATAATTTCCCCAAATGACATTGGAAGACATTTTCCCATAGAAATTGATTTTCTATTTATCTGTGTTTAATTTACTGGACTAAATAACTTTTCAAGTGGCTTCTCATGCCTAGCAAAATGTATAACAATATCATTTAAACTTTAAAATTGTATGTCATGGTAATGCCCCTATTTTCCAATTAGAAGGAAATAA